GACATGCCTCAGATGAAGATTTCCTACTTCAATAGCAGTTATACCAGCAGCTTCTACCAGAGTGAACACAGTCAAGCCTTCGGACTCACTCTTTGCTCATGCATTCATTTGAAAGAGGTCAGCTATGATTAACTAAGAATAGCAGAAGAGACAGAAAACTTTGTAATCTACTACTCATGTTGCTGAAAATTCGCCGACAGCCTACGACCGGTTTCGCCCTATTCGGGGCTCATCAGGTAGGCGCAGTCCCCGGGTTTCCGTCAACCTTATGTTCTACTTGAAACCAAAATGCACGAAATAAGCGAATATACACTCATTTGCAAACTAATTTGGTTTTCCCAGAGACTCACCTGAAACCCAGCTGAACCTCTCGTTTGCGATGTTCTCAAACAAATACAAAGTTATACATGTATCACGATAACTCGAATATCGCGCCGACTGAAATATGAGGCGGCCTGGTGGAGCACATTTAGTTGCCTGAGAACATCACAAACGAGAGATTCGACCGGGTTCCAGGTGAGTCTCCCGAAAAACCAAATTAGTTTGCAAATGAGTGTATATCTCCTAGGGCAGGAAACTTGTTTTTACCGCTTTAAGGGGACCAAGCGGGCCAGATTCTCTTCCGTATAGGTTATATTCTCCAAAAATGTGATTGTTTTTTTTGCCAAAAGCCTTGCCTCATACAGCACAGTCGGATGCGAGGTCTTATCTCTCAGGACTAAGCTGCACTGGCTGATTTTTCGATCGTGGTTCTTTACACAAAAGGATGACCGACGGTGAATAACGGTGACTTCGAACACAGTGAATAACTACTTTGTTTGTGGGTGCTTATCAACAACTTTCAGTCATCAAGGCAAAACTGAGAGGTCAGTATTTCCATTGATGTGAATACAAAGGCTTATAAAGCAGTAAGACCTTCAATCTAGCTGTTCATGGTGAAAATTGCATACACAATTGATTTATTCAGTGATCGATCAGCCAAACGATTGACCTTATCAAAGGACACCCTACAGTAGCATTACATGCGGTCGATAGATACGCAGAGCGTGACGGAAGACGTACTGCTCTAGATCAATGACCTGATTGAAAACAAAACAGCTCTCATCTCTGCCTACAAATCATGAACTAGGTGTATCGCCTATTCGGTTGAATACCAACGTTTTCTGATTCATTTGTGCCTTTTCAATCTCCTGGCTCTGGATTGTGGATTGAAAACGATATCCCAAAACCGATAACTACTAGGTATCGTGAGGTACAGGTGTCATATTCTACAGTACAACATAGAATAGCATAACATAGTATAGCACAGCATTATATAGTATGCTGTAGTATATTGTATTGTATTTAATCATATTATATAACATTATGTCATAACATAGCAAAGTGTGGCACAGTAAAGTATACTGTAATGCATTGTGGTGTGGCACAGTATAGCGTAATAAAGTATAGTATCTCATGGCATAGCATAGTACGGTATAACACAGTACACTTTTGCATAGTGTTGTATTGAGTTTTATTGTATAATACAGTAGAGTGTGATACAATAGGTACGTAGATAATCTTTTGACGGGTGGGTAGCCAACTCGAAGGCGATCGTGGGGTTTTGAGTCCGGACCATTTAACGTCACAGGCAAACTGTGCTTGATCTGAGTGTGCATACTGTGTGTGTGTGGGATTCACAAAGTCCTGATTAGCTGCGAAGCGATTCCTTTGAATAGATAACTTTGAATAGATCCTTTGAAGACAGTTCATTTTCTAAGGCGGATTCTACTGTTTTTGTGATGTTCCCCCACCGACCTCAACCGCAAAGAGTTCTGAACAAAAACGTCATAACAGTTTCAGTGAAGAAGTGATTTAGCTACCGATATATGAAGCAATAATGACAAGTGGTTTTCATCATTCGGAAAACACCGAGTAGTTGGATCTTCTGACGAAGTAGTGATTAGAGATCTTTAACCAACACATGGATAAAACCGATGCTTTCCCTAAAATGCTGTTGAAGTTAGACCTCTCCCGCTGAGTGCAAGGGGGGAGTAAGAGTGCGATGTGTGTTTACGCAACACACTCTATGACTAACCATTAAATTTGCTTTCAAGCGAATCTGATGGTAAAACGCCTCCAGTATTTCTCCGTGAGCGTCGCATCATCCTTATGGACAGCATGACATATCGAGATGTGAGGTAATCAAGCACACTTGGTTATTTTTCTCACGTTCAAGTTGCATGTAGTTGAGCTGAACATCTTCATCGACAACATGAGATCGGGCTTCAAAATTGATGCTTCCCTACCTTAAAAGCCTTATTGTAAAGAAAAGAATAAAGGTGAACGGGGGGGACTTAGTGCTGACTTACTACAATCATTCTGAGTTGCCTCCAAGCACTCACTCAGGCAATCTGGACAGAAACTGACAACAAGAACGCCACTGACATCGGTTGGCAGCTTTATCTTGTAGCGTCTCTAACCAGATGCAGCGAGGGTCACGCGGTACTCATCCTGGAAGGCGTCGCACCGAGAGCAACCAAACGTTTCGTAATCTACTTCATACACTTCTGTCTTGCCAGGGGTTAGCAGCATCTCCGCTTTCGCCATTCTGAAATGGGCATGGAAAACAGCACTCTCTTCAGCAAGCGATGGTTAGGCATACGCAACTCATGTCCGAACCAACGCAGTTTCTGGTGCTGGACCCATTCTTCAATGGAAGACCCCGTTGCACAACAGAAAACTCGCTTTCTGGTCGCCTCGTTTCGGGTTCGCCGACACCAACCCACACAAGCTATGGTCCTTAGACAACGATTGTCAAACACCTGAACACATCTCAGTCTCGCTACTCGAACAGGCCAAGCCTCAGAGTCGCACAACGATGCAGCCCGCACTGTAGCCTGATACACACGTTCTTTGAGATTCAGAGATATACCGCTTTGACGATATAAGTGTCTGAAATTAGCATACGCGACCCTGGCCTGGAAGATTCGTCCGCCACAGAACTAATAAAACTCTCAAGGTACACTAAGCGTTCCCGCTTGCTGTAGTCAGTGTGTCACGAGCCACCATAGGGGGACAAAGCACCACTGACGCCAACAATCACGTTACGACCGGTTGAAAGCTGATTCCCCTGTGGATACCACACTCACGACGAGCCTCTATTTGGCAAATAAGCACTGGTTGCCTAGTTGTCTGGGACAGTCTCCTTTTCCAGAATGCAAGCACGCATATCAGAGAAGCACTGACTAAGGATTTCACCCCCATCTTTGAACAACATCTGGATCAAAAAGCTCAGTGACGCTTGAGAGAACATATGCAGTTATTAACCTCCGAGGCCGTAGAGTGTTCCTCGTTCACGGTCCAAACTTCTACGTCAGCTGTTGGCTCCAGATGCGTGGCAGTCGTTTGCCACGATTACTGGTTTTCGAAGTCCTCAGACCACCGGTCCAGGTGTTATTCTTTATTCAAGATGACCATTCCTTTCTGATCCTTGATGGTTTCGCTCACAGATCAATTCCGGGGATGGGTCGCTCGCAACTACCGGGCACTACCAGCTTTCTGGGTCTTCCATTTCCTTGGCCTTCTGTGTCCACCAGAATTGATGGTCGGTTCACTCGCTTACTTTTACTTCACGTTTGATAATTCGTCGCGTCAAGTTATTTTCAGATCGGCTGGGATATTTCACCAAGTTTTAGGCGGCGCCACTGTTTGATCATCTATCCAGTGCTTGAGTATGCCTGGTGGCCCCATGCCACAGAAAAAAACCCTCTGCACTGTGCAAAGGGGTGGCAATCTCGTTCCAGTATGAATCCACATCGATTGGAAGAGACTCTAGAAGACGATTCTTGTAAGTTCGTCTGACATCCGGATCTGCCAGTCTTTC